TGGGAAGCCTGCTTCTCCCTCTCCCACTCCCCCTGCTTGTGTTCCTGCTCTTGCTATCTCTCTCTGTCAAATAAATAAATAAAATCTTTAAAAAAAAAAGGGGGGGGATGAGTGGTATGGGAAACATGCAACATTTGGTAGCAGTAAATCTTTACAGGAGATAGGATGGTTGATTTATTTGACAAAAAAGTACCAAATGTTAGGGTTAAAGTAGTGAAAAAGAGAAAAATATGGTGCTTTCATGTTATTGACAGCATTTTAACATTTTGCTGTTTGTGTTCGATTATGTGAGAACTTTCTTGAACTGTTCCAGATTGAGTAGCTGAGTATTGGGTTTTAGTGAGTATGAGTTGGAGGGGGTGGATTTTACCCTATAGTCTCCCAATGGTTATGTCTTTTTTTTTTTTTTTAAAGATTTTATTTATTTATTTGAGAGAGAGAATGAGAGAGAGAGAGAGAGCGAGCACATGAGACGGGGGAGGGTCAGAGGGAGAAGCAGACTCCCTGCTGAGCAGGGAGCCTGATGCGGGACTTGATTCCAGGACTCCAGGATCATGACCTGAGCTGAAGGCAGTCACTTAACCAACTGAGCCACCCAGGCGCCCCTGGTTATGTCTTTCTAAAGCTTGAAGGAACTTCTCAGAAAGCAGTAAGATTGCAAATCATTCCAAATGAGATGCTGACGTAAATTAAGCACTTTTTTTTTTTCATCATCCATGAATACAAATAAAAGATTGGAACATTTCTCATAGGTGACGTCTGTAGAATGTACATATTTTAAGAAAATTTGAAAATGTCTTTCTTGTATTAGTTAGCTGTGGCTGCTGTAAGAAATCACCACAAACTTAATGGCTTAAAACAAGAGAAATTGATTTTCTCACAGTTCTGGAGGCCAGAAGTCTGCAGTCTGAGCCGTTGAGGTGAAATCAGTGTCTGGAGGGCCAGGGCTGTGCTTCCTCAGGCAGGAGTCTTCCTTGCCTCTTCCAGCTTCTGGTGGCTGCCAGCATTCCTTGGTGTGTGGCCACATCATCACTCCAGGCTCTCCTTCTGTGGTCACATCACTTTCTCTTATGTGTCAAATCTCCCCCTACCCCTCTCTTTCCAGGACACTTGTGATGGCATTTAGGGCGCACTTGGATATCTCCTCATCTCAAGATCTTTCATTTAATCATTATCACATTTGCAAAGAGCCTTTCCCAAATATGATAACATCTGTAGATTTCAGAGATAAGAATGTGGATTTTTTTTGGGGGGGGGACATTGTCAACTCACACACCTATAAATTATTTGGAAGAGTAGGAAGGTGGCTTTTGAAAGAGTAACTTTTAGATACATCATGAGAATGTTTCCCATTACAGTAAGAATTCATAGTATATCTTGTAACTTTTCAATGTTAGCTTGATGATCCAATGTTCTTATCCAAATTGGGAGACTTCACCCCAAATATCACCACCTTGCATGTCATTTATAATAATGGTTTTAAGCAACTTGTCTCTAAATAACGGAGGTTAGGGGTGCTTGGGTGGCTCAGTCGTTAAGCGTCTGCCTTCTGCTCAGGTCATGATCCTGGGGTCCGGGGATTGGGCCCTGCGTCGGGGTCCCTGCTCGGCCGGGAGCCTGCTCCTCCCTCTCCCACTCCCCCTGCTTGTGTTCCCTCTCTCGCTGTGTCTCTTTGTCAAATAAATAAATAAAATCTTAAAAAAAAAAAACCAACATAAATAACGGAGGTTATTCTTTTAGGGCTGGCTCAAGCTGACAGTGGTAATTTTTATCAAGCATTTATTAAAAATGAATCTAAATTTAGGAAAATGATCTAAATTATTGGCACTTATTTTAGCAATCTAGGAATTTTAATGACTGTGAGAAGGTGCAGGTTGCAGGGTAGTAGTGAAAAATATACTATGATTATACTTTTTCTGAAGTTGCTTGGTTGTATCAAACTTGAAAATATGTTATAGTTGGACTATGTTTTTTTTAATAAGCTATATTTTAGCTAATTTTGGACAACTATGGCTAGCTTATTTTGGATGAGATAGGAACACACACATTAAACAGTTTTTTTTTTTTTTTTTTTAAGATGTTCACACTTAGAATGGAAGGTACCATTGGAGGGTTTTTTGAAGTTGTGAGCTAGTCATGAACGTAAGAGTGTGTGTGTGTGTGTGTGTGTGTGTGTGTGTGTGTGTATGAATTTTAATAGGTTCTTTCTTGAACCTGCCTAATTTTTGTCACCCTTTAAAAAAATAGACTTTTATTTCTCTAAACATCTCAAGATATATATTTTAAAGGTCTTTTCAGATAGTTCTGCTCTTTCTAGTTCCTTGGGTTATCTGTTGGATTTCTCCTGTGATGGAGAGTTTGTATCTGTGTTGTAATTACTGTGTATGAAATCTTCACGAAACTGCTGAAGGTGTTCTGTATTTTGAGGACAGTGCATCTCTGTTTCAAATGTTAAAGTCACTGACTTTCCACTTCGTATTCCCCATTTCCCACATGTGATAACCATAAACATTATCAGTCTCTTTACCTGCCTCCCACTTTGTACAATTGTTGCCATGGTTTTTACTCCTACATATATTACATTATAAATTATAAACTCCAGCTTACAGTTTTACAATTTTTGCTTTAAGTACATGTTTTAAACTCCAACTTAAAGTTTTTATTTTAAACAATCAATAGTCTTTAAATTATGAGAAGGAAAATATATTTATGAAAATTTAACTACCTATTTACCATTTCAGGCACCTTTTATTCCTTTGCATAGATTTGTGTTTCCATCCACTCTCATTTCCCTTCAGTCAGAAATTCTTTAGCATTTTTCATAGTATAGGTTTGCTGGCAGAGAATTCTTTCAGATTTTTAAAAATCTTGGAGATGTCTTTGTTTTGCCTTTGTGATGGAAGGTTATTTTCACTGCATATAGAATTCCAGATTGATAGTTTTTGTCATTCAGCACAGTAATGGTGGTGTTCCACTGTTTTCTGGCTTCCATTATTTCTGATGAGATGTTGATTATACTATATTGTTCTGTCTCTGTAGTGTCTTTTTGCACTCTGGCTGCTTTCAGGGTTTTCTCTTTATCTTTGGTTTTAAGCTGTTAGCCCACGATGTGCCTGGGTGTGGTTTGAATTTGAGAGGTGTTTAGCCATGATTTCTTCATTTCATTTTTCTGCCCTTTCTCAAAGTCTTCTGTGATTTCGCTTATATGTGTGTTAGAACATTTTATATTTTGCAGGTCTTTGAGGGTCTCTTATTTTTTTTTTCAGTTTTTTTTCCTTTGTAGTAAAATTGGATAATTTTTTTAAAAAAGATTTTAAAATTATTTTTAAGTAATCTCTACACCAGCATGGTGCTCAAACTCAAAACCCTGATATCAAGAGTCACATGCCCCACTGACTGAGCCAACCAGGTGCCCCTAAATTGGATAATTTCTATCGATTTGTCAGTTTACTGATTTTTTTCTCCTCCTGGTATCTTCGGTATGCTGTTAAATCTGTCCAACACAGTTTTCATTTAGTTATTATATTTTTCACTCTTAGAATTCCTTTTTGTGCTTTTTTTGTGGTTTTAATTTTTCTGCTATTCAGATATTCTCTCTGTTTACACATTAAAGAGCATATGTTCTTTAAAGTTTTGAGTGTATTTTCTTTTAATTCTTTGTGTAAAATAGCTGCATTAAAGTCTTTGTTAGCTAAATCTAATCTCTGGTCCATCCTGGGGTTGGTATTCTATTGACTCCTTCTTCCCCCCCTTTTTTTGTGGATCACATGTTTTTTTCTTTCTTGTTTATTAATATTTGACTGAATACTATTTGTTTTTTCTCCTTAAGAGTGTTAATGTTTCTTCTAGAAGGCTGGTTGGTTACTTTGAATTTATATGTATTTGGTTTTATACTTCATTATGCAAGATCTATGGAAAGCTCAAGATGAATCCTAGCCTCTTTAATATGGGACATGACTTCCAAACTGAGTCTTCCTTCGGATCTTGTCCTGGGTTTGGTTTTAGACATTTTTAGTATTGGTTCATAGGCTGTATGCTAGGATTTGGTCCTTAGTCTTGAAATGGAGATAGAAGTTAAAGTGTGTGTTTGTCATGGTTCTCTAGTGAAACAGACCCAATAGGAGATTCATGATTTATTATAAGGAATTGGCTCACATGATTATCAAGGCTGAGAAGTCTCAAGATCTGCAATTGGCAAGTTAGAGACCCAGGAGAGCTGATGGTATAGTTTCACTTGGAGTCCAGAGGCTTGGGAACCGTTAAGAGCTGATGGCTTAAGTTCCAGTCTGAAAACCAGCAGGCTCAAGACTCAAGAAGAGCCGATGTTTCAGTTTGAGTCCAAAGGCATGAGAAAAGTTGATGTCCCAGTTTAATGCAGTAAGACAGGAGTTCTTTCTTAACCCCTGGAAGGATCAGCCTTTTTTTTCTATTCAGGCTCAGCTAACTGGATGAAGCCCACCCACATTAGGGAGAAGTCTGTTGATTCAAACATTAATTCTGGAAGCACCATCACTACACACCCAGAAAAATGTTCGACCAAATGTCTGGACCCTATGGCCCAGTCAAGTTGACATATTCAGTGAACCTTTGAGATCTCTCCACTGTGCCTGGGCGGGGACTCCTAAAGTCCCCAGGCCTGTTCATTCTCTATCACCTCTGTTCTGTTCTCAATCTCTCAGCAGTCGCTCTTTGCTAAGCTGTGGGTAGTCTCACCCTGCCTATGTGCATTCTGGTCCTCTTGAGTCCCCCACACAGACTTCTGAGATCCCCTCTTGCACAGCTTCCTTCTCTCTGTTGCCCTGTCCAGGTGCTTCAGCTGTTTGGAACTCTGATCTTTACGTCTCAGCAGAACCACCGTTCTTTGCTTGGCATCCAGCTCCTTCTGCCATGTTGAGAAGCTGTCCCCAGAGAACCAGGGCAGAGACATGGGCTCGGTGGAGGAGACAATTTTCTTACAAAAATACTAATTATTCCCCTGATTATATTTCATGGAGCAGGCAAAATTTTTTTTTTTTTTTTTTTTTTTAATGTAGTGATGTGGGCCTTTGGGTCAGAGGGTTGGGCTCTGGAGTAACTGAATTCCACTTCCAGCTTAGTGTTAGAATCATGGCTGAGGCAGATATTATGTGTGTGAGGCTCTGCAGGAACATGTGGTGATTGAGGGCTACTGTTCATGGAGCAACTGTCCCATTATTGGATGCCTTCATTCTTTTATTTGTTCTCTGTGTATTCTCCTGTAACATTTTACTTATTTCTGATTTGAGTCCTGTGTTCTTGAAATACAGGAAGCTAGTTAATTCATTCATTCCATATTTGTGAGACTTGGTTAATTATTTGAAGGCATCTATTCACTGTTCCTCTAGTCTTTCATAGTCTTGACTGATCAGCCTCGGTACTTCCAGATCCCCATCCACCTATTATTTTCTCAGAAGTTTTGGATTGTCTCATGCCTCTCATTATGTGGATCTAGAAATTAAAAGAATTGTGAGCTTCAGAAGCTGAACAGACATAAAGACTACAAATTCTTACCTGTCACTTCTTGGAAAGAGTATTTTTTTTTTAATTTTTTTAATTATGTTAATCACCATACATTACATCATTAGTTTTTGATGTAGTGTTCCATGGTTCATTATTTGCGTATAACACCCAGTGCTCCACGCAGAATGTGCCCTCTTTAATACCCATCACCAGGCTAACCTGTCCTCCCCCATCCCCCTCCCTTCTAGAACCCTCAGTTTGTTTTTCAGAGTCCATCGTCTCTCATGGTTCATTCTCCCTCTCCGATTTACTCCCCCTTCATTCTTCCCCTCCTGCTATCTTCTTTTTTTTTTTAACATTTAGTGTATTATTTGTTTCAGAGGTACAGATCTGTGATTCAACAGTCTTGTACAATTCACAGTGCTCACCATAGCACATACCCTCCCCAATGTCTTATCACCCAGCCACCCCGTCCCTCCCACCCCCCACCACTCCAGCAACCCTCAGTTTGTTTCCTGAGATTAAGAATTCCTCATATCAGTGAGGTCATAGGATACATGTCTTTCTCTGATTGACTTATTTCGCTCAGCATAATACCCTCCAGTTCCATCCACATCGTTGCAAATGGCAAGATCTCATTCCTTCTGATGGCTGCATAATATTCCTCTGTGTGTGTGTGTGTGTGTGTGTGTGTGTGTGTGTGTGTGTACACATACACACCACATCTTCTTTATCCATTCATCTGTCGATGGACATCTTGGCTCTTTCCACAGTTTGGCTAGTGTGGACATTGCTGCTATAAACATTGGGGTGCACGTACCCCTTCGGATCCCTACATTTGTATCTTTGTGGTAAATACCCAGTAGTGCAATTGCTGGATCGTATGGTAGCTCTATTTTCAACTGTTTGAGGAACCTCCATACTGTTTTCCAGAATGGCTGCACCAGCTTGCATTCCCACCAACAGTGTAGGAGGGTTCCCCTTTCTCCGCATCCCTGCCAACATCTGTCGTTTCCTGACTTGTTAATTTTAGCCATTCTGACTGGTGTGAGGTGGTATCTCATTGAGGTTTTGATTTGGATTTCCCTGATGCCAAGCGATGGTGAGCACTTGGAAAGAGTATTTCTGATACTCTTTTCTCAAATCTAAATAAGTTCCCCTTGTTATATTCTCTTAGTAATTCATGCTTTCCCTCATACCCATGTAGTCCAGTATTACTGTGATTTTTGTCTGTTTCTCACGTTGGATCGTGAGTTCTCTGAGGGCAGGCTTAGTGACAGTAAATCTTGCCCTTATGTCTCCAATACTCAGCACATATTTGTTGAAGAAATGAATGATGAATTTGAAAGTCTACTTAATGTCAAGACATCATCTGATTTTTAGGATATTATTTGCCCATGTGCTGTTATTTAAAATTATTTTTCATTTGTTTCAATAAGTGTAATTGATGGCACTTCTGCAGTGTGTACAGATGTATGAATGTCTCTCACCTTTCCCCACTCCCATCCCACCTCCTTTCCAGTCCCATTGTCCCAACCACAGACACTGCTTTTAAAGCTTTTCAGTTAATCTTTCTGGACATTTTCCTTTTTGTGTAAGGATGTTTATATTGTTATGTATACAGATATTATATTTGTACGTACTTCTGTGTAGCAGTGGAGTTTAAATGCTCAGTTAAAATGGCAATTAAGCATTATTTTGCTTTTATCATTGGTTTGATAACCAGATCTTTTCAGTGTTCATTTTACTTTCACATACTCATAAGTAAGGCACATAACCTCTAGACTTCAGTTTCCACATCTGCTAAAGGATTGATTTGAATTAAGTGAAATTGAAGTCCTCTTAGCTCTCAATCTGATAATTTAATGTTATTGTATAAGTCATCTGTATTAGATATGAAAAATGTGCTACCTGCATTATATAAAAAAAATAGGAAGATAAAAATCAAATATGACTTTGGTAGCAAAAGGAAATTTTGGGGCAAGTTATTAAAATGTTTGGTTTTTATCCTCCAAGAGTGGGTAGAGTATGTCAGCTGTTGAAACTAGTAGTGGGATCATCTCTCTAGGGGACTTTGGCACTAGGGAGTTTGCACTTTATTGATCCTGCAGTGCTAGCTAGTGACATCCTAAAGGGAATTTCACCCAACTCCCTGGATTTTCACATCACAACTGTACATTTAGTAACACGATGAATGTTCTGGAAGAATTGTATAGAAACCAAAATTTAGGGCGCCTGGGTGGCTCAGTTGGTTAAGCGACTGCCTTCGGCTCAGGTCATGATCCTGGAGTCCCGGGATCGAGTCCCGCATCGGGCTCCCTGCTCTGCAGGGATCCTGCTTCTCCCTCTGACCCTCCTACCTCTCATGCTCTCTGTCTCTCATTCTTTCTCTCTCAAATAAATAAAATCTTAAAAAAAGCAACCAAAACTTACATAGGTAAATCTTTGTTAGTGACTTATTTAAAAATATTTTATGGAAAATAGTTTCCCAAGTTACTTCAACCCCTTTCTCCTCTCCCCAAAGAGAAATAAACAAGAGAATAAAAAAGGCAAATTTTGCTTAGTCATGGTTTGTTTATAAGTTCTCTTGTCATAAAATGTTACTGAATCTTTACATTTCTTTTAGTTAGCTTCTTTTGTTAAGTAGTTCACTTAGTTTATGGTTTAAAGAATTACATTTCTTGGGGTGCCTGGGTGGCTCAGTTAAGCACCTGCCTTCGGCTCAGGTCATGATCCCAGGGTCCTGGGATCGAGCCCCACATCAGGCTCCTTGCTGAGCGGGAAGCCTGCTTCTCCCTCTCCCACTCCCCTCATTTGTGTTCCCTCTCTTGCTGTGTCTCTGTCAAATAAATAAAGCAAATCTTAAAAAAAATTGTATTTCTAATACTTTTTTTCATATATCACCATTTTTATTTTTTAAAGAACTTTTAATTATTGAAAACTTCAGACATACACAGAAGTAACATAATGAGCCCTTGTGTCCCTGTCATCCTTGCTTTCACAGTTGTCAATATTTTGCCCACCTGTTTTTTTTTTTTAAAGTATTTTTAGTATTAAGTAATACCACGATTCAAATTATTCTTTTTTAAAAGGGAGGCTTGGTATTTAACAGGAATAAAACCTCTCAACTAGCAGTGCCTGGGTGGCTTAGTCAGTTAGATGTCTACCTTCAGCTCAGGTCATGGTCCCAGGGTCCTGGGATGGAGCCCCGCATCAGGCTCCCTGCTCGGTGGGGAGCCTGCTTCTCTCTCTCCCTCTGCCCCCCCCCCCCCCCCGCTTGTGCTTGCTCACTCTCTCTGTCAAATAAATAAATGAAATCTTAAAAAAAAAAAAAAACAACCCTCAACTATGCCCAAGCTTTTTCTGATTATGGCTATTTATATGGAGTTGATAATTACATAAAATATTTCTTAGCTCAGATAGCATTCTCTGTAGCAAAACCACTAGATTTTGTGCCTTTTTCACTGAAATGAGTTCTAGAACTGAACCATGGCAAACTCAGTTGCTCCACCAGTAGGTTGCAGGTATGACTTAACTGTACTTACTATGTTGTCTTAAAAATTAAAGAGGTTTTTTTTTTTTTTTTAAGGATTTTATTTATTAGAGTGCTTGTGTGTGAGTGGGTGAGGGGTGGAGTGGGGAGCAGAGTGAGAGGGACAAGCCCGTGGCGGGGTTTGATCCCACAACCCTGAGATCATGATCCCACCCAAAACTAAGAGTCCGATGCTCAACCAACTGAGCCACCCAGGCAGGCACCCCAAATCTTGAAGAATTTTAACTCACTTGTTTCAACAAAGCAACCCAAAGCAGATGTTTTAGGCAATGACGTGGTTTGATGATTATGGTTTTTTCTCCTTTATTGAGAATCTGCTGTAGTTGAGGAAGCTGGCCTTCCTCAATAGCGAGCCAAAGAAGGCTCTTAATATTTTCTGGGACTGGATGCTGGCATGCATACAGTTAGTTAGCTACCATCCAAGGTGAGTGGTGTGAGGGCCGTAGTCTTGGTGTAAACGCTGCTATACAGGGTTGCCGAGGGATTGGTGTCTGTAGGCAGTGCTGATTGGAGACTTCTGTGGAAGACAGTGCTGGTTGATGTTGGGCTTGGAGCTTGGTGTTGACAGGGAAGGATGAGGAAAGCTCATTGAATAGCCCAAGCAGAAAAGTGGCATTTGTCCATGGTGGCTGGAGTGTCCATTTGGGGAAAGTTTTTATAGTAGGAGATAAGACTGGAAAGGTGAAGGTAATGACAATATAAAATACACTGGCATAGAGAAGTGAATGTATATTGAACACTAACTGTGATGTTGTAAATGCTTTACGTGTGCTCTGTCATTGACAATACAACAATTTTTTTATTTTTTATTTTTTAAAGATTTTATTTATTTATTTGACAGAGAGACAGCGAGAGAGGGAACACAAGCAGGGGGAGTGGGAGAGGGAAAAGCAGGCTTCCTGCCGGGCAGGGAGCCTGATGTGGGGCTCCATCCCAGCACCCTGGGACCATGACCTGAGCCGAAGGGAGACGCTTAACAACTGAGCCACCCAGGCGCCCCGATAATACAATAATTTTTATGGGATTATCCTCACTTTGTAGATGAGGTCACTTAGTCATCTAGGAGTTTAGAACCTTGTGTGAGCCCACCTATTAAGTTGTGGAGCTGGAAGTTAAACTAGGGCAGGTTGACTCAGAAACCTGATGATGGCTTTAGGGCCTTGAATATTGGGTTAAGCAGCACTAAATAAGTAGTTTTTTTGGTTTTATTGTGGAGAGTGACCTAGCAGTGTATTAACAGATTTTTTTTTTAAGATTTATTTATTCATTTCAGACAGAGAGAGAGACAGAGAGAGCATGAGTGGGAGGGGCAGAGGGAGAGAGAATCTCAAGCAGACTCAGTGCTGAGTGCGGAGCCCCACACAGGGCTTGATCCCACAACCTTGAGATCAAGACTTGAGCTGAAACCAAGAGTCAGACGCTTAACTGACTGCAC